TTTTCTTGGCTTTCTTTAAGGGATTTATTGATTTCTTCCAATTTTTTGTTTGTCTTTTCCTTGAAAAAAAGGGAATTTTTCATTTCTTTTTTAAGGGTCTCTATCATCTTCATGAAGTTATTTTTTAAGATTTTTTTTTTCTGCTTCATCTGTGTTGGGATGTTCGGGTCTTGCTGTTGTAGAACCACTAGGTTCTGGTGGTACCATATTGCTCTTTATGTTGTTGAATGTATTCTTACACTGCTGTTTACCCATCTGGGTTTGGGATAATTATAGGAACAGGTGGTGATTCTTATGATGACTTTGTTGGATGGATCTTTGTTCCTTTATTGTCTGTTTCCTTTATTGTCTTTTGGCCTGAATGGCCAAGGGTTCCGGTGATTGGCTGGTTGTCATGCCCAGTAGGGTGTCTCAGCTGAGGTTTGTGGGGGTTTGGGTGCCTAGGTCCAGTGTATCGTCCAGTTCTTCTGGCTGGTGTGGGCTTTACTTGTGCCTATGGGGTCTGTTCTTCTAACTGGTATGGATGGATTGTGCCTGTGCCTATGAAGTTTGTTCTTCCAACTGGTGTAGGTTTTGCTATGCCTGTTCTTCCAACTTGTGCCTATAGGGTCTGCTGATGTTGCTGGAGAGGGTTGTTCACAGGGAGGCTGCTGGGGTAGGTGGGATTGGGCAGTAGAGTGAGTCTGTTCTTCCAACTGGTGTAGGTGGTGCTTGTGCTTATAGCAGCTGTTGATGTTGCAGGGGATTGTTGGCTAGTGGGGAGGATGATGGGTTCAGTGGATTTGGGTAGCAGAGCGGGTCTTGTAGGTTACAGAGTCCAATGGATGGTGGTGGTGGTGGAGCAGCCTGCCCTCGGAACTCTTACCTGCTGGCTGGCTGCTGGGGCTGAGATGGAAGGAGGACAGGCTCGGGATGTTCCTTGGGACTTGGGGCCTAGAGATTAGAGACCAGTCACTCACCTCTTCTTCCAGTTGATGCAGGTGGTACCTGCACCTCCAGGGGCTGCAGATATTCCCAGCGGTGGTTGGCCAGGAGGAGGAGTTAGGGTGATGGAGTGGGTCTTGTAGGTTGCAAAATCCAATGTGTGGCAGTGCAGCAGTGGAGTGGCCTGCCTGTAGGACTCTTGCCTGTTGGCCATCTGCTGGGGCTCGTGTGTGTGTGTGTGTGTGTGTGTGTGTGTGTGTGTGTGTGTGTGTATTAGGTGGCTCATGTCATCAAAATTTTTTCTTTGTCCTTCAATCATAGCAGACAGTGTGTCTGAATGTATTATTTTAGGTTGGCTGTCATAGTCTTTTAGGACATGAAATGCATTGCTCCAAGCTGTTCTTGCTTTCAAATTTGCCATTGAGAAATCAATTATTATTCTGATAGTTTTCCTTTATATGCGGTTTGTGTTTTTCTATTGTAGCTTTCCATATACTTTTTTTTGTTATGTAAACTTAGTGTTTTTTTTAAACCAGGGTTTCACATTTATTTCAATGGTTCAGCAAATATATACACACACGTACATGTACATACATGTCATATATACATATGTGGAGATTAAGACAGAAAAAAGCATAGTAAAAACTAAAATTGGGAATCTAGGTAAAGAGTGTGGACACTTTTATTGTAGCACCTGGCTACTTTCCTGTAGCTTTGGGATTTTAAACACAAGGACACAGATTTCAATAATCACATGAAGCTAGCCTACACTGTCTACAAGTAGAAACACAGCAACAACGATAAATTTAGGACAGTGGATTTCTGGGAAGGATTAGCTCATGAGAGAGAACCTCCCAGGAGCTTCTGGTACAGCAAGTATCTCTACTTGAGTGTGAATGTTGGATTTTCCTTTCTAGGAATTACTATATAGTCCACACATTTTTTGTTCTTAGTATATATTTCCAAACTAGGAATAGGTAAAAACAATGGGATGAAGTATATAAAAAATCTTTTTGAAGGAAAAATACTACCCACGATTGTGTGTGTGTGTGTGTGTGTGTGTGTGTGTGTGTGTGTGTGTGTGTGTGTTTATAAATAAACTGTTTTGCTTTGTATGATGTAAGGGGGCTTTTGCTAAGGAAGTCACACTCCTAAGGTCAGGCTACAGAACTGTACTGGCTGTGAGCTTATCATCTTAGTTTCCAAGAGAAAGTTCAATCACCAATTCTCAACACTGATTAGTTTGACATTATGTAATATGTTTTTTCTAAACAATTCCTATGGATTATATAACACACCACAGTAAGTATTTGAGAATAAAATTAGTGTTTTAACTATGACATTCCATGGGAATTTTATTTTCTGGCCTTGTCTATTTGGTTTTCTGTGTGCTTCTTATATTTGTTTGAGGGAGACTTTCTTGAGCTGAGGGGAGTTTTCTATGACTTCGTTTTCTATGTCATTGATTTTGGATTCCTTTCCCTCGTCTATGACTATATTTTGAAGGCAGGTTTTTTTTTATAGTGTCCAACATTTACTGCATGTTGGTTTCCTGTGTTTTGTTTAATTTAATTCATGTTTCTCTTCTATTTGGTCCAGATCCTCCATTTCATCTTTGGGACCTGGTATTCTGTTTCCTACTTGATCCATTCGAGTTGTCCAGCTTTCCTTTGAGGGTTCGAGTTTGGGCTAGTGGGTTTTTCAGTCCCATCTTCATTTCAACTGGCTTCTTTCTCATTCTGCTCAGCGCTTCTGTGTATTGATTAAACTCTGTTCTCAAGTCTTGGATTGTTTCCATCAGTCTCATCAGCATAATGTCTGTGTCTTCTTGGCATCAGTCAGGCATTTATTCTCCTTACATGTTTCTCTTTGCTTTCACTGAACTGTTTCTTTGTGTCTTCTTTAAACACCGTTAGTTCTTTGAGGAGGATTATGATTATTCTTTTAATTTCTGTGTCCTGAGATTCATCTAGGGCAGTGATTTTCAACCTTCCCAAAGCTGTGACTCTAATACAGCTCTTTGTGTTGTGGTGAGCCCCAGCCATAAAATTATTTTAGTTGCTATTTCATAACTGTAATTTTGCTACTGTTATGAATCATAATGACCCTCAAACGGGTTGCGATCCACAGGTTGAGAATCACTGATCTAGGGTATTCTCATTTGGCAAGCATTTTCTTAGGACTGGTAGGCTTTTAAAAGAAGATACCGATTTGATCTTTCATATTGGGGTATTCCTGTGGTGAGATCTAGGCATGTGAACTCCTTTGTTAGTTTTGATAGAGGTTTAGCAGGGTGAGCAACCAGAGAGGATGTGAGAGTGGGTGGGGTCTAGAGGTTGGAAAGGGCTTGGATGGAATGAAGTCTGGTGAGCAGAAGGGACTTGGGCTGGTATAAAGGATGTGCTTCCTGTTCCAAGTTGGAAGTATGGGGATAGATAGGTCTGAGTGGAATGTTTAGATATGATATTGGGGTCTCCTTCAGTATGGCAAATAGGTAGGGGGGATACTGGCTTAACCCTAGAGTTCCTCTGCAGTGAAGGCAGGGAAGACAAGCCTAGGCTGGTGCAGTGATTGTGGAACCCAGGCTAAATCTGGTAGGTTATGGGAAAGATGTGGATAAAAAGGTGAAGGGTGTTCACCAGGCTAGACTGTGGAGGAGGATGTGGGAAGTTAGGGTACGTCCTGGCAGACATCTACAGTGATAGTCAAATGGGTCTGGGATGTGGGATTTGGGACCCCGTGGAAACGTAGGGGTCACTTCTGCCAGGCAGGACTGGCCAGACTAGGCCAGCATGCTGGAATCCTGGCTAGATCCAATGTGATATGGAAAAACAAGTATTGGGTGGGGAGGGTACTCATTAGGCTAAACTCTGGAAGAGGATGTGGGAAGTCTGGGTATGGTATGGTGCGGTAAAGGCCGCCCAAAGGGTCCTGTGGGCAGATGCCTATAGAGAGGATCCTGGCAGAAGTCTAGATGTTGGCCACAGAACAAGAGAAAGTTGTGAGACTAGACAGGAGAGCCTGTTAAAAATCTTTAAAAAGAAAATGTAAATGTGCTCCATAACTAAAAATATGTATATATTTATTATAGTATAGTTACTTTTGGTCTGTTTTTCAGAGCTTTAAATGATCAGAGTATAATTGAGACTGTAAGTATAATGTTCCTAATTTGATATTGAACTTTGCCCTTGATTTTTGGAGAGACTCCACAAATGGCCATTTTCTGTTGTTGTAATTAGAGAGTAGCACTCACTCATTTCGCCCAGCTTCTCTGAGCTCTTGAGCTAGAAGGCATTGCATGTTCTTTTCACTTTCTAGACATCATGATCACTCAGAAACACTTCTGAAGTACTAAGCTGGAATCTCCTGCTCATCTCGCCATGTCATTTCAAAAAGCAGAATAGAAATTAATGCTAGTGCTCATTCTTTTCATGCTGTAGTGAAGTTTGTCTTACATTAATAATGAAGTATTGAAATAAATCTTACTGAGATGCTTGACTTTGATTGGAATTATTTCATTTGTCTTTAGAAATATAAACAGATGGAAGCTGATTTTCAAGTTTTATTAGTGGAGAAAACCCTATTGGAAGGTGAAATACGGAGGTTGAGGGAGTCAGAGGTTGGTATATGCAAGTGATAATAATGCCATACAGTACCCAATAAGGTCTAATATCATAGAAATGGGAATCAGAGTAACATTTAGTTTTTTTATGACACATTTCTAATAGTCATAATTTTTAGAAGCTCTGATTTAAAAACTCAAATTAATATTTTAAAATTCTGTATGAACTATCAAATCCATAAGGATGCTATAAAAATAGAAACAATTCAGTTATTATGAAAGGCATTTTTTCATTTTAACCTTTTTTCTTTTTATTTATTCTTCTCTCATACAGTATCCCCATTTCCTTTCCCTTCACTCCTCTCAGTTCCCACCACTGAATCCCTTCTCCCCAAGATCCACTGCTCCTCTGTTTCCCTTGAGAAAAGAGCAGGCCTCCCAGTGATATCAATCGAACATGGATAACAAGATGCAATAAGACTAGGCACAAACTCTCACATCAAGGCTGGGTGAGGCAACCCAGTAGGAGGAAAAGGGTCCCAAGAGCAGGTAGAAAGAGTCAGAGTCACAACCCAATCCCACTGTTAAGGAATCCCACAAAAAACACCAAGCTAAATAACCACAATATATATGCAGAGGACCTAGCGCAGACACATGCAGGCTCCAAGGTTGCCGCTTCAGTCTCTGTGATTCCCTATGAGCCATGGTTACTTGATTCTGTGGGCTGTTTTCTCCTGGTGTTCTTGACCCCTCTAGCTCCCACAATCCTTCCTCCTCCTCCCCCTCTTCTATGGGTTTCCCAGAGTTCTGCCTAATGTTTGGCTGTGGGTCTCTGCATCTGCTCCCATCAGTTGCCAGAAGAAGCCACTTTGATGACAATTTGAGCTAGGTGCCTATCTATGAGTATAGCAGAATATCATTAGAATCATTTCATTGACTTTTTTTTTTTTTTTTTTTTTGGTTCTACCCTAGGAATCTGGGCCACCCTGCTTCTGGCTCATGGCCATCCAGGCAGTGTCTGGCATGGGCTCCCAAATTAGACCAGGGTTGGCCACTCCCACAAGCTCTGAGCCACCATTGCCCCAGCACATCATGCGGGCAGGATAGGGTTTGGGTCCAAGGTTTTGTGGCAGTGTTGGTGTCCTAGTCCCACCACTGGAAGCCTTGCCTGGTTATGGAAGATGGCTGGTTCAGGCTCCATATCCTCCATTACTAGGAGTCCGTGCTAGGGTCACCTTCATAGGTTCCAAGAAATTTCCACTGCACTAGGTTTCCACATTGCCCCCTAGACGTCCCCCTATTTCCAGCTGTCTCTCACTGTACTCTCGTTCAGTCCCTCCCTTCTCCACCTGATCTCTGCCCCCCCCCCCTGTCCCAATCCCCACTTACCCCTAGTCTACCCACAGAATCTATTCTAGTCCACTTCCCGGGGAGATGCATGTGTTCCCATAGAGCCTTCCTTGATACTTAGCCTCTCTGGGTCTGTGGATTGTAGCATGATTATCTTTTACTTAATAGCTAATACCCACTTATAAGTGAATATATATCATATTTGTCTTTCTGGGTTTGGGTTGCTTTGTTCAAGATGATTTTTTTTTCTAGTTGTATCCATTGCCTGCAAATTTCATGATATTATTTTATTGAACTGCTGAGTAATAAATACTCTGTTGTGTAACTGTACCACATTTTCTTTACCCATTCCTTGGTTGAAGGACATCTAGATTGTTTCCAGATTCTGACTATTATGAATAAAGCTATTATGAGCATAACTGAACAAGTGTCCTTGTGGTAGGATGGACATCTTTTGGGTGTGTGTCCAAGAGTGGTATAGCTGGGTCTTGAGGTAGATCGATTCCCAATTTTCTGAGGAACCACCATATTGATTTCCATAGTAGCTGTATAAGTTTACACTCCCACCAGCAGTGGAGGAATGTTTCCACTTGCTCCATATCCTCACCAGGATGAGCTCTCACTTGTGTTATTGATCTTGGCCATTCTGACAGGTATAAGATGGAATCTCAAAGTAGTTTTGATTTGCATTTCTCTGCTAAGAATGTTGAACATCTCTTTAAGTGGTTCTCAGCCATTTGAGATTCTTCTGTTGAGAATTCTCTGTTTAGATCTGTAACCCATTTTTAATTGGATTATTTGGTTTGTTGATGTCTAGTTTCTTGAGTTCTTTATATAGTCTGGATATTAGCCCTCTCTCAGATATGGGGTTGGTGAAATTTTTCCATTCTGTGAGCTACCATTTTGTCCTATTGACAGTGTCCTTTGCCTTCCAAAAGCTTTCCAGTTTCATGAGTTTCATTAATTGCTGATCTTAGTGCCTTCACTATTAGTGTTCTGTTTAGGAAGTTGTCTCCTGTGCCAATTTATTCAAGGATATTCCCTAATTTCTCTTTTATCAGGTTCAGTGTGTCTGGTTTTATGTTGAGGTCTTTGATCCACTTGAACTTGAGTGTTGCACATCATGATAAATATCGATCTATCTGCATTCTTCTACACAACAACATCCAGTTATGCCAGCACCATTTGTTGAAGATTCTTCCTTTTTTTCTATTGTGTATTTCTGGCTTCTTTATCAAAATCAGGTGTCCACAGGTGTGTAGATTTATGTTTGGGTCTTCAATTCAATTCTATTGATCAACATGTCTATCTTTATGCCAATATCATGTGGTTTTTATTGCTATAGCTCTGACGTACAGCTTTCAATGAGGGCTGGGGTTGGAATTTTGATGTAGATTGTGTTGAACCTGTAGATTGCTTTTGGTAGGATGACCGCTTTTACTATGTTAATCCTACCAATCCATGAATATAGGAGAGCTTTCCATTTTCTGATATCTTCTTCAGTTTCCTGAAAGACATTTATATGACAAATATTTGACTTCATAAATTTGTTAGTGAATGAGAGTCAGAATTTTGTCCCCACTTCCACCTTCTTGGAGCTAAAGACTGAATCCCAGGCCTTGTGATTGTTAGGCAAAACCTACCCCTGCACTAAATCCCCAGCCCCAAAGTCTTTTAAATAAATCTTATGTTCTCTATGATTAGTTAATTATACCAACTAGTATGAGTAGAAATAAGTGCAATGCCAATGATACAAGAAAATTTGCTTCCTTTATATTTTCTTTTTTTGCTATTTTTATTCATGTTATAAATTCAAACTACAGGCAAGAGTCAAATAAAAGTCAAAATTTTTTAACCAGTTAAGCCATTGTACGCATAGCTGAAAGAAAATACTCTCCTTTTGGATTTTTGGAGATGTTTTTCTTACTCTGTACAGCAGGCTAGCCAAGACCTCACATCAACCCACCTGCCTTAATCTCTCAAGTGCTGGGAAACCAGATATGGACCATTGTGCCCATGGATTAATCTTCAACCCACTTTTGTTGGTTATTTGATATTTCTTTGATACTGGAGGAGAAAGTAGATATTATTTTCCATCAGTTCCCTCTCATTATTTGGTATTTACTGGTCTACAATGTGTATGAGTTTATATATATATAATATAATATATATATAATATATATATAATATAATATATATTATAATACTATTCAGTTTATATATATATATATTATAATATATATATATATATTATAATACTATTCAGTTCTACATAATAGCCACAGATTCCCTTGTTCTCTCCCTTCCTGCCCCCCTCCCCTTCCCACCCCCCATTCCCACCTCCTGCAGATCAAGGTCTCCCCCGAGGACTGGGATCGACCTGATAGACTCAGTCCAGGCAGGTCCAGTCCCCTCCTCTCAGATTGAGCCAAGCGTCCCTGCATAAGTCCCAGGTTTCAAACAGCTAACTCATGCAATGAGCCCAGGACCTGGTACCACTGCCTAGATGCCTCCCAAACTGATCAAGCCAATCAACTGTCTCACCTATTCAGAGGGCCTGATCCAGTTGGGGGCCCCTCAGCCTTTGGTTCATAGTTTATGTGTTTCCATTCATTTGGTTATTTGTCCCTGTGCTTTATCCAACCTTGGTTTCAACAATTCTCGCTCATATAAACCCTCCTCTTTCTCACTAATTAGACTCCCAGCGCTCCACCAGGGGCCTAGCCGTGGATGTCTGCATCCAGATTCCTCAGTCCTTGGATGGGGTTTATGGCACAACTATTAGGGTTTTTATAGGAAACATCTTTAAAAGCACACTAGGTTATTTGGGGATAGAATAGTTCTCATTAAAATACATTACTAGGTTCCATATTTCTGTGTTTTTTATTATTGATGTTCTGGTTGTTGAGACAATACCTTAAATCCCTGATCCTCCTGCTTCAGCTCCCAAGTGTTGGGTTTACAGATCTGCACCACTGTGTCTAGCCCCTGCCCCTCCTTTTTTTGAGACAAGGTTTCTCTGTGTAGCCCTGGCTGGCCTTGGACTCGTGGGGATCTGCCTGCCTCTGACCCTTAAGTGCTGGGATTAAAGGTATGTACCACCATTGCCTGGCTGTAGTGTTTTATTTCAGAGGAATTATTTCACCCATGTTCATCTTATGATAAGTTTACCATAATAGCACATTTGTGTACATTGGAATTTTTAATATAAAATAACCATCTACTGCCTTCATTTGTCTTTATTATAATCTATAATTTTAATAATTGATAACATTCTTTCTCTATATTCCTATATAAAATAATCTGGTCCTTCAGAGTGGTTCAAGAATATTTTGCCCAGGTATGCTGATATATACCTGCAATTGTAGCATTTGGATAGCTGAGGCAGGAGGACCTCGGCCTCATGTTCAGTCTAGACCACTTAGACCCTGTCTCAGAAATGCTTCAGCACATGTGTTCAGCTATGATGTGATGATGGCATTAAGACACAAATTTGTACCAAGTATGCTGTACAATGTAGTATAACGTGAATTTCAAGTCTCTGTGTGTGCCATTCTGTTGGAATAAATGCCAGTTGAAGGCAGCGCTGCCAGCTCAATGATTCTCAACACACACAGTCTCACATAAGCCACATCTGGTGTTTCAGTTTTCTTTGCAGTTTCAGATAAACTCGTTTCACTTCAGGTTCAACCTCTACACATGTGTTTTCAGGTCTCTTTCAGGACAAGGGGCTGTGTCTTTTCCACAAACTTGTGTGCTCTGAGTCATTTGCCTTAGTTTTTTCAGTGTATCGCTGATGGTATTTTTGCATGATGCCATCCTAACATATCCTCCACATCCTGCTTGCTCTACTCCAAGTACAGCACAGTATGGTGACCATAGGGCACACCGTAGCAGAGCTGGAAAACTGTCGGAGGGAGTTAATGACTTCAGCATGAAATTGTTCAAGTGTATGGCTACAGAGGATAGTGAGATCAATAGTGAGTAAAATGCTTACCATGCAAATGTGAGGAGCCGAACGTGGATTCCCAGCACCCACGTAAAAAACTGGGCGTAGTGGTGCACCTGTAACCCCAGCGCTGTGGCATGGAGATGGCCAGGTTCCAGGAGCCTGCTGGCCAGCCAGCCTAGCTGAAATGATGAGCTTGGTGTTCAATGAGAGACTGTGTCTCAAAAACTCCGATAGAGAGCAATAGAGGAAGACCCCTGACCTCTACACATCGTGTGTAACCCCATTCTCTCCCTTTTATTGAAGTCAAAACACAAACAGCCTCGGTGTGTCATTAATTTTGCTTTGTTTCCGTTCGGATGCTTTCCCCTGAAACAGTAGAGTGACCCACGGGTTGAAAGGAAAATCTCAGCAGCGTATACTGCTGTGCACATCATGTAACTCATGCTACTCTTATTTTGATTTGTTCAAAACTGTACAGAAAGCAAAGCCTGCCGGCAAAGAAGAGCGAAGCAAGAAACCCGCAAAACCAGAGAAGAAAAAAGATAAAGATTCAGAAAGGTAAGGCGTGAAGATACGTGATCTTTTCCTTCCTCAGTAACTCATACTTTAATTTTTAGAATTTAAGATTGAAAAAAAGTGACTCAGTTTTTTTTAAAGATAAAATTAACAAGTGCTATAATCAGGCCAAGATTGATTGGGAAGAGCCAAAAAGGACAGAACAAGACTCTGTGACGGGATTAGAGGTAGCATGTGAAGAAGCCAAAGAGTTAAGGGTGAGGAAAGCTGAATGAAATCTTTGAATGAATGTCACAGGGAAGGAAGGGCTTTGGGTCGGCTCCTCATCGCCAGCTAAGGCTGTAAGTTCTCTAGACTTTGTTCTCTTCCACTGCAGGTTATAATTATGCTCAGTTTCATTAAAAAAAAAAAAAAACCAATTACCTATTTTTATGAATGGATTATTGTAAAGTGGCTCCAGTAATTGAATATAAGTATCATAAACTGAGGATTGTAATTCAAATTTGCTTGGTATGTCTTATTTAAAATAAAGTTTTTGAATGAGCCTATGGATTCAATGTTTATAGAGAGCTTTAGTTCCTGGAAAGAAATTTATTAGACAAAAAAAAAAAATATGTCCTTTGAAGAGGAATGGTGATCAGGGAAGAAAAAATGCTTAGTGCATTTTCAAAATCTCAACTACTTCGCATTTTAATCATACCATTGAAAAGTTGGCTCGAGAAAATTTATTGGTTTGTTTACCACCTAAGCCATGTGGATTTAATGACTGTTTTAACATATGAGGGGCCGAGCGAGGAGGTGGCTCAGCAGGTAAAAGCATTTGCTGCATAAGCCTGGCACCTGAGTTTCATCCCTGGATCCCACATAACTCTCATGGGGAAATGGGAGACAGGAACAGTCATGTATGCAGTGCAATGGAAGAAATGAGAGCCCCTGCCTCATGGTGAAAACAAAGAACGGACTCTTTAGAAATAAAAAATGCTCTTGCTTTCTAAAAAAAAAAAGTTGCCCTCTGACCTCCAAGTATACACTATGACATGACATGAACATGCACTATGTGTGCGTGTGTGTGTGTGTGCGCGCGCGCGCGCGCGCGTGTTTATGTGTGTTAAAGGCATGTATTTCTTGCAAGACTTTAAATGGTCCTAGGGAAAGCAAAGCAGCATTGTGTTTTCAAATGTCATGATGTATTTTTTAAAATATTTTTAATTACAGGAAGACATCTCCAAGCAGAGAAATTGAACTGGTTGAAATCCAAGTAAGATACAGTCTCTCTGAGCCTATACATTTATGTAATAATTCATACAAAATTATCTTCTGCCTGTTACTTCTGATTTACCTCTTAAGAGCTCCATTTTGATGGCTTGCTTGCCCTTTGGAGCCCAATCTCCTCTGAGGTGGCTGAGTCACATCAAAAGCCTGACTAGATTTCTGGCCTCTTTGCCGTGCGTTTCTCTAGTTTCCAGGTCCCTGAGATCCCTGATTGGTGGTTAGAGGTTTGTTTGCTCTTTGTCTCCATTGTTACTTCGTTTTGTTTTTGTTTCTTTTCAGATTTCAATAAGAAGAATCATATAGATTTCCAATTTTTTCTTAAAATAATTGCTTTATTTAAGGAGATTTAAAGATTTTTTTTAAATTTTTACTTGACTTTAGTGTTTCTGGCAAGATACAGCCTTCGCATTGCCTATTTCCTGCGTGATGTTTGGGTTTTTTCTTATTCTCACTTTTCCATTGTTTTCAACAGTTTGGTTTTGTTGCATGGGCACATGACAGCTCTTAACACACTAAGTTGGAGCGAGCTCAGCATCTTGAGTATGTAACTTTTGCCAAGGTTTCAAACATGTTTCTACCTCTTTCTGCCCCTGTACAAAAATACAGTTGGATGGTAGAAATTCGACATCACTCTATATGCTCCTCATGTGTTTGTAAAAGGTTTGTCTCTGTATTTAAATATTTTACATTGATATGTCTAAGTGGTGTCACCTTTTCATTGTCCTATCGAACTTCTTATTCTGTCTGTACATCAGTTTTTAAACCCTGATTAATTGTTGATCATACAGTTGTTATCATTTGGCCATTTATTATATTTTGTGTTTGATGAGATCTCTGCCAATTCATTCACAGACATGTTGGGCACTGTCATGATGGCCGCTTTAAAAGTGTTTCATGGTAGTGCTAAAGTCGGGATTGTCTTGGGGTCTCTTTCTTGGTTTCTTTTGCCTTAATAGTAAGTCCACTTTTCCAGTTTATTTAAATTGTTTTGTGGGTGTTATGAGTAACGTGGTATTAAAACTCCATGACCTGCTATGTCCTGTTGGTGACTAGTATTTTTCTTCTCTATTATATAGTGAACATGATTGTGTGTGAGTGAAAATTATATACCTATCCAGCCACTTATTTTAATTTTATCCAGGTTGTTTTGAGTCTTTCCTTTGTGTGTGTGGTTCAGAGGTCCGAGAAGGCTTGGACAGATTTTATACAAAATTATTGGGCCCTTGTCTTCAGTTTTCTCCTTCTTGTGACTTCCACTGAATCTTTGATGGTTGGAATTGTCTCAAACTTTGCCCTTGTTTGGAATTTATAAAGACAGAGGCTCCCTGTAAGCTCTGGAGTACCTCATACCGCTCAAGTAGGCCTGACTCCCAAACAGAAGGCCCTGAAAGCAGGACTCCTCCCCAGGCCTCCTTCTCCTCCGTGGACCACTTATCCCTGTTTGCATATCAGTGTTGCTGCTTCCCTTCTGTGCAGAGAGTACAGTGGTTAGATACTGCCTAGATTGTCCTTGAGGAGCCTGATGTGACACACAAAAGGCATGCACAGGGCTTCATCAAACATGCTTCTCAAACCATCATCCACTGCAGGTTTTCTGAATGTGTAACTTATTAATTTCAGCCAAGCCTGGACTATATGTTAAAATTGGGGATTCTTCATCTAGCAACATTTCAAATACTTCCATTTAAATATTTCAGACGTGAAGAGAATTATGGTAGTTGTTATTTACAAGAGTCATGGTAATCATGCATGTGAGAAATCAATAGAGAGCTATAGTGTCAGGTGGTATGCACCACGGCATAGGAGAACTTTGTAGTTCAAATCGTCATACTGGCAAGCTGTGGGTTCGAGACATGTAATAACCACAAAAAGTAAATCTGAAAAGTACCAGAGTGAACGTTGCTCTCTTTTGACTCCCTAGAAAGAAGCAGAAGCACTGAAGATGGAGAAGAAAGCCCTCCAGGAACAATTGAAATGGGCTTTGCAGGTGAGGGGTGCCCCTCTAAATGACAGTGAGCAAAGGAAATGGCTAGCAGGCAATTTCTAAACTTTAATCTTACAAACTGAGTGTGTGTCTGTGTACACATATATGCATGTACATACTCACTACATGCGTATATACACACATACAAATATATTAATAGGACATAGTGTTCATTCTTGTCTAAAACAACAATCCAGAAAGGAAATAAATCTTACTTCATGAAGAAAACAATCTCTGAAGAAAACTGCCAATACACAATGTACTTGGACGTAAAATA